CGCACCGTTACACATGCATGTACATACTGTATGTACAATTTATGGTAAGCCGCAAATATGTAAACATGTTTCTTCATGTCTAACTCAAAATAGCCCAATTTATGTAGTTCGTTTTGGCAGCATTACGTATAACCGTTACTTGTAGAAAGTCGCTCCTACCAATATTTTGCAATGAAAGTACGGCCAACGCTCCCCTCACAATCGCGCCTATTCTCCCAATTCCCGTGACACAACTGAGGAATGGCCCAGTAATTATTATTTAAAGCTAGAGAACCCGTTGCTCTGCATTTGGTGTTAATTCCCTCACCTAGCATACAGGTCTTGGGCTCGATCCCGACCCTGACGATGCCTGTCGATTTGAAGTTTGCATATTTTCCGTCAGATCACGTGGATTTTTCTCCGAGTACTCCGATTTTCCCCACCACATTTAGAATCATGTGTTTAGAGTATTTGGCTGCTGTAAAATTTCTACCTAAGCCACTTGATTGGGTTACCATTTGTGATAGCCAGGTTGCTTATGAAAAATAGGTATAGAGCTTAGTGGGACTTACCTGGTAAGATAACATAAAAGTGTATAGTTTAAGAGACAGCTATCATTTTCATACTCATCTCACAATCCTCTTATACTCGGAACACTAAAAGTAATCAGATTTTTTGTATGTAATAAAATGGCAATGTATGTGAGTTTTTTTTTTCTTTCTAAGATTTAAAACACTGATCAAAGAATTACATTCATAGGAGCACAAATGGAACAGTTTGAGCCATTTTTTATGAACCGTGGTCAGCCTTCTCTATTCATTACTCCCACCTCTTCGGTGTCACCATATATTAGCACATTCCTTCGAAGTGGGCAGGTAGGAACTTGGTTGGACAGCGCATTCGTGCGATCCGTGTTGGATACTGTAGTCGTGTTGGAGGTTGCAGTATGCACGACAGACAGACAGATAATCCCTGGTGGGCAGTGGGGAACCTGTTGTTCCTACCTGTATTATTGTTGTTCTTAAATGTCTTCTAAACTTCTTCCACCGTTTTAAACCAAGTACATTTTTATTCGTAACATGGAAAATCCCCAATAAATGTTTTTACACGCTTTCTATTAACTCACTCTGTCTGTTGTTGTTGTCGTTGTATCTTCAAATCTTGTAACTCTATTTTAACCCACTTCCCGATGTGGTATCGACTGCAAACTTGATATTCTTATGTCATACTGATGACAATACTATATTCTATCATTAAAAAAAAATTTAAACAATCTTTTTTATATGTTATGTTTCGGCTTGGGTCTAATTGTCGACGCTCAACTGACGTTGGCTGTAAATCACCACAGTCCCTTACGTTATGGCAAGCTTCGGGGCCACTTCCTGGAGTCTTGGAGTTCTTCTATTACTAGTAGGGTACATTTCACTAAAGCGTGTTTAAAAAAAAGTTTTTTTAATTTTACTTATTTTTTGGTTAGATCGCGTAAATATAAATGTTTAGTTAAACCCGACACAGCCAATTACGAAGGTTTGTCAAGTAAACAAAACTTGCCAATTAGTTACTAGTTCAGCACTAGGCCTCGGCAAGGTAAGGCAATTTACCCTTTTACCGGGTAAAAGGGTAAAGGTAAAAGGTAAAGGTGTCCACATGCCAAGGGGTAAGGTAAAGGGTAGGGTAAAGGTAGCTCAGAAGAATTACCCGGGAGGGTAAAGGTAGTGCGAAGTATTACCCGGTAAATGCAGTACCTTGTTTACCGCTAAAAACTCCGTGGCGCAATCCGTGGCCTCCATTTAATAAGTAATATTTAAAAAAAAAAAATTTAAACACGCTTTAATTAAATGTACGAGTAATGGCAGAACTCCACGACTCCAGGAAGTGGCCCCGAAGCTTGCCACAACGTAAGGGACCGTGGCCAATTACAGCCAAAGTCAGTTGAGCGTGGACAATTAGACCCAAGCCGAAACATAACATATAAAAAATAATGTAAAAAAATATATACATTTATTTATGCTGGAATATAGTATTGTCATCAGTATGACAGAAGTATACCAAGTTTGCAGTCGATACCACATCGGGAAGTGGGTTAAAATTGAGTTACAAGATTTGAGGATACGACAACGACGATAACGACAACGACAACAATGACAACGACAACAACAAGCGTATAAAATTGGAATCATCGAGAGTATTCTATATGAATAAAGCGCTCTACCTAGCATTTACCGTTATAAACCTTTTTCATGTGTAGTTCCCCAGTAATTACCCTGTAATCGGGTAATTTGTATGGGGTAAGGGTAAAAGGTAGGGTAAAGGTAGGCTCGTTGCTTTTTACCTTTTACCTTACCTGCTAAAGGGTAAAAGGTAGGGTAGAGTGATTGTATTGTGGTAAGGTAACAGGCTTGTTTTTTTTACATTTTGACTTTTACCTTACCTTGCCGAGGCCTATTCAGCACACCGGTGTGTTGGAGGGGAATCTCAATCGAGTAATTTGCAGGAAACTTCTTAGCACTGGGATGCTTGGCCAATATCTGTTATATGGTGTGGTGGGTTTTTGTTTCAAAAAAATGTTTCACCAGCGATGGGGAAAACATTTCTGCAAACATGCCGTATGTTCAGCCATCGTGCGGAATGGCGTAAATCACACTCTGGGGGCGCGTGGGGATCTATACCCCACAACTTCCCTGCAAAGAAAAAGATCCTCCGTTTAGCCGACGTAGACTGATGCGGCAAGCATTATTAGCAATTCGTTATTGAAGGCAGCACGAGTCACGCTCGGCGGTGGTATGATCACCACCCGCTGCCTTTGTCTCGCCAGTGGTGATATTAAGATGCGTTCGAGCTTACTTACCTTCATAGAGGGTGAAACCATTGATATGCACATTTGCATATTTGTGTGTGTGTGCACAGAATTATCTGAACCGGTCCTGGGCCTCCCCTCGGTCGACTCAGCATCAAATGAGTACCTGGTCCAGTTTGTAAACATCATCACCGGGGAGACAAAGGTCACTGGGCGTGGTGCTGGCCACTCACCCTCGTGTGCCGTGCCGGCCTTCATAGGTGCTCACTAACAGCACTTGCCCCAACAGTCTGTTAAGGCTATACGAGGAATATTTGTCTTTATGTGTACATGTGTAGAGAAGGGATGTACACAGTGAGCAAAGTTGAGAGGGTGCATTTGGGAACAAACAGGTGTGAGCGTTGGGGCACGGAGTAGGCGCCGCAGAGGCGGGAGCTGGAGGCGATAATTAGGGATTAGCAAGTGGGAGAGGCGTGAGGACTCGGAATGATGAGGGATATATAAGCAGGAGTGTGCGTGAGTCGAGCGAGGTGTTGTTTGGGGATCAAGAGAAGAGACGTCTCGCCACTGCCGCTCGGTCCGTCAACGGGACCTCGCCCCTCACCTCATCGCCGGGCGGGTGTTGGCTGATCCCCCCGCCAGGGACAGACGGGTAAGTGGGTGCGAGGCAGCGTAGGTGAGAGCAGGGAGCATTGGCAAGATGGAGAAGAGTAGGTGCGGGGCCGAGTAGATAAGAGCAGGTAGGAGGAGGAAGCGGCATGTGTGATCACAGTGAGAGGCAATCATAGGTGTGCCTACAACTGGTGCGAGAGTAGGATTAATACAGTGTAAGCAGGTGCTCTGTTACTCCGTGTCAGTGTGAGTAATTTGATACACTACACATGTGTGCGAGATGAATCGGTGAGCTCCTCCAGCAGGCAAGATTGCATTGGGCTAGGCCCAGCCACCACATGCCCGAACACTCTCTGTTTGGCCAGATGGAGGGGGCTAAACGGGCATGGCATGGGCTACAGAAGAGATGAACTGATGCGGTACAGGAGGATGTGAAGCCGAGTGGACTTGCCGACGACTGGTACCAGCGGTGTCAAGGTCAGCCTTTGTGGAGGAGGCTCGTGAAGGACGCTACTGGGCAGTTGGAGGCAGTCACCCTCCAACAACAACGGAGGGCAGAGGAGCGATGCTCACAAACATTCGCCTCGAAGTGCCGGGTGGCTAAAATGCAGCAAGTTGGCACAATAGCGGGCACAATTGGTGCATCTGCCAGTCATGTCAGTCAACCCATGCGGCCTGGGTCTGTCCCCTGACCTCCTGACAGCGAGCCTTCGATGCTTCACGTGGCCTAAAAATGTGCCTCGCCAGGCACAAGTCCTGTGGTAATGTCACTGCCACTAAGTGGTGAACGGCGGCTGCTGTTGTTATGAGTCACAGCTGTGTATATACTGTATGAGCTGGAACTATTGTTACAGTGCATGGACAACAGCGGCACAAGCCCGCTTGCCCTTCCCCCTGGTGAACAGTGGCTGCCCCAGTCCCGGTGTCAAGAAACAAACGCTACATGATACATAATAAAGGTTTTTGGGTTAGAGCGTGTCGTTAAAACCGCCACCACCCGACAGTAAATGTTTTGGGTTTACTCTCCAACACACCGGTGTGCTGTACCATTAATGAATTGGCATGTTTTTTTTACGTGACAAACCTTACTAATTGGCTGTGTTGGGTGGTGGCGGGTTTAACGAAACATTTATATTTACGCGATGTAAACCAAAAACCTCTTTAATGGAAAATATTGGTCGCGAAAGGCTACGACTACATCTCTACATTAATCAGGCTCAATTTTGTTATCACATCCAATAGCACAATTACCAGTGCAAGTGTGCAGGAGTCGTATTGCAGTGCAGTACACTAAACATTGTTTTATATTACCAGGTAAGGCCCACGAAGCTATATTTAGCTCTTTTTCAGAAGCGACCAGGCCACATATGATAGCTCAACGAAGTGGCTTATCATCACGTGGAAATATATAGCAGCCAAATACGCCAAACGCACATTTCTAAATAAGGAGGGGAAAACCGGAGGACCCGGAGAAAAAATCCACGCGACCACGGGGAGAGAGAGAGACACGCAAACTCCAAATATACAGCAGCAGGCGTCAGGGTCGGGATCAAACCCACGACCTCCTGCGTACCAGGCGAGGGAATTAACATCTCACCGGTACGGCGTTCACTTACTTGGGCCCATAGCTCATGGACAGCGTGGCAAGGTAACCGTTGCTTGTGCCCATCAGCAGCATGATGATCACAAAGGCGGCGTCGTGTCTGAAGGGGGTTATGCCCAGGGGCCTGGAGGCGATGTTACAGAGGAGGAGCAACGGAACGAACACCAGACGCAGCACCACCAGCACCGGCAGCCACCAGCTGTCCGCCTTGGGCTGGGCACATACGCACAAGAAACACAACACAAAGATCCCCCCGTATAGCCTTAGCAGACTTGCGGAAAGTGCTGTTAGCGAGTGACACCTATGAAGGCCGACACCGTACACGAGAGGTGGGTGGCCAACACTACACTCGACCGCCTTTGTCTCCCCAGTGGCGATGTTTACACACCACACTAGGTACTCATTTGAGGCTGAGTCAACCTAGGGGATGCCCATGACCAGTTTCGATAATCATTACTGGTGTTGTTGCCGCAAACGAGAATCAAACTCGGGTTGCCGGGTTTGTAGCGTGGCGCGCTAACCGCTACGCAAACACAATGCCCACACATACGCGAGCAGGAGACGCGCACAAACACATACACTGGTGTTTGTAGGGGCAGCATCCGTCCCCCGCACCTCGGATTCGCACAGTTGGCTACGTATGGTGTGAAAGAAGCTCAACATATAAAAAGCTGCTGGGATGTATCAGTTGATGGAGCAAATTATACACAAATCAGATAAAAGTCTCGTTTAATGTTACTGCTAAAATAATTAGATAAATAGGATATAGGTTCAACAGCCTATGGGCCTTCCAAACCAATGATTTCCGGCAGCATTTGTTTCAGAAGGTAAACTCTGGATTGGTTATGAGTGTAAACGTTCCGACAGGAGGATGCCCCCAAGGTTTTGCCTTTTGAAATTAATACCGCTGTAAAATATTGCTCAAGGTTTTAAATATATATACAGTGAATTACTTCAATGTTATAATATTAATTTGTGATAGAAAATATAGATTTCCTGGAACGTGGAATTCACACTCAGGACCTCCAGTGCTGCCCTTTGTGCTCTGATCGAGCGAGAGCCACCCACTGGGCCACAAAGTCACTTGTCAGGGACGATTGTTAACAAATACAGGGACTTCTCTACTTACGAACATTCGGCTTAAGAACGTTCAGAGATACGAACACACCAGGCCGTATGTCAAGTTGCCCGTTTGGACCGAGAGTCATTAGTTCAACCGCCGTGCAATAGATGGCAGTGGTGGCATCTACATCTGCAGAACATGAAGAACCAGTGTCATCTACATCTGCAGAACATAAAGGACCAGTGGCATCTACAGAACATGAACAACCAGTGGCATCTACATTTATAAGAGATGATACAACTTTTTAAGCCATTCCCCGTATTTAGTGTACATTCCGTACAACACGTTTGGAATCGACAGGAGTAAAGTTGAACAAATCAACTTACAAACCGACCTCTGGAACCTAACTCGCTTTTCGGGTAGATGGCGCCACACCCGCAGGCAGCGATTTCCTGCTCCAGCCCCCCTTCCCATCCCCGCTTCCCATACCCCCCTTCCCACCCTTCCCACCCCCCCGCTTTTCCGCAATCTTCCACGTTGCTGTGGCACCGCAGTGTGCTGCCTTCCTGCGCGGCTCCTTGCTCCACCGTGGCTCTTCGGCTGACCGTCGGGTGACCTACGGGGTTGCTCTGGTGGAACCCCCCGCCCCTGCCCCCCCCCCGCCCACTCGCCGGCATCTACTCCAACCCTGGTCCCATCGTGTACAGCCACCTCCGCCATATCGCCAAATGCTCAAGACTACCGGCTGTTCGACCACGTATCCTGGTCAATCTCCTAAATCTTGGGCTGCTCAAGGACTCTTGTTGGCCCAGGCCCAGAAACTTCCTCCATGGCTGCAGGAGTGGCAGAGGACGCACAACCGGCCTCACCCATCGCCACCTTCATCCACTACCACATTCACCACATACTCCCGTCCAACTCTTACCCCACCATCCGCCGATTTTTCCTTCAAATTAGGCCTCTGGAACTCTCATTCCGTGTGCAGTAAATATGCCTCCACCTTGCATGCTTTTCTCTCCCTTAAATCCACCGCCCTCGCGATCACATAAATCTGGATCACCCCCTATATCACCGCCACCCCCTCTGCCCTTTCATCCTCTGCCTCCTTTTCCCACATCCCTCGTCTGGTGGGCAAAAGTGGAGGCGTAGACTTGCTCAATCCTCCATCCTGGATCCCTGCGCCTACACTCCCCACTATCCCATCCTTCCCCTCCTTTGAACACCAATTATCCTCCTCCCTCCACTGTATCACCTTCCTCAGTATCTATCGTCCCCCCAGTCCCTCTATCCTCTTCTTCGACCACCTTGACAGTCTTCTTTCCACTGTCCCCCCTCTACCGCACCTCTTTATTCTTCTAGGTGATTTTAATCTGGATCTTAGTCTTCCCTCCATTGCCTCGACCCTCCTTGCCCTCACTAACTCTTTCGACCTTGGTCTCCTAACCTCACCCCCTACTCACTCCTCAGGCAGCATCCTCGTCCTCATCTTTATATCAGATTGCGAGACTTCCCCCATTGTAACTGATCCCTGCCCCCGCCCTCCATCGGACCACTTTCGCCTCTCACCATCACCGTACCCAGCCCACCCCTTCCCAGCCCCATTCAACCCCACCACTTTCTTTCCCGCAATCTCTGCTCACTAGATTCCGCATCCCTAATCTCTTGGATCTCCTCCTTATCTCTCTTCCTTGCACTCTTTTTCCTCCCTCCACCCAGACGCTGCCTCTGCCATCTTACATTCCACCATCAACACATCACTCAACCTCCTTGCTCCCTTGCGCACCCGCTCCCACCGTCCGAAGCCCCCCCAGCCCTGTCTAACCCCCTCCATCCAATCAAGCCGTTGTTCTCTGCCCAAATCCGAGCATACGTGGAGAGCGCATCACCACCAACCCTTCCCTCTCCAATAGCATCTCCCTACTGTGGCCATTTCTATCATCGCTGGAAGTAGCCAAACATTATTACTTTCACACTCTTAATTTCCTGCTTTTCTTCTCATCCCTGCTTGCTCTTCTCTACCCTTAATAACCTTCTCCACCCACCCCCCAACTCCTCCCTGCCCTTTCTACTGGCCTTTCTGCTACTGACTTTTCCCTTTTCTTCTCTTCCAAAACAAATGTCATTCGCTCCTCTTTCCTAGCTTCCCCGTTCCCCACCGAGCCTCTTCCATCCTTAGCGCCTCACCAATTCCCTACTCCGCCTGCCCTCACCAACTTCCCCCATGACTCTGGAGGAACTCTCTGTTACCATCTCCAAAGTCCATCTCACCACCGCACCCCTTGACCCCATCCCTGCTCCCCTTCTTACCTCAGTCCTCCCCTCTATCCTTCCTACTTACTCTTCTATTTCCATTTTTCTCTATCCTCAGATGCCTTTCCTGCTAATTTCAAGTCGGCCACCATTACCCCTCTCATTAAGAAACCCTCCCTCGATGCCAACTTCATCTCAAACTACCATCCTATTTCCCTGCTTCCCTTCCTCTCCAAAGTTCTCGAGCGTCTTGTCCACTCCCAGCCTAAACAACTTCATCGTCACCCACTCCCTCTACCTACTCCACCAGTCTGGTTTTTGCCCGCTCCACTCCACAGAAACTGCACTAATTACCATCCAGAACCACGTGATCAACTCAGCTCCACGCTCTTCTCTCCTCACTCCTCGTTCTCCTCGACCTCTCCTGGGCTTTTGACACTGTCCATCATCCAACTGGTTCCAATCGTAACTCTCCTCACGCTCATCCTCGGTCTCCTTCAATCACCCCTGCACTCCTCCTTCACTCGTCAAAGCAGGTGTTCCCCAAGCCTCTGACCTGGGCCCCCTTCTCTTCCATATCCACATCTCCCCTCTCGAAACACACTCATCTCCACCTTTAACTTCTTCCACCACTTCTATACCGGCGACATCCAAATATTATTCTCTTTCTCCACTTTCACTCTGGACCTCTCTTCTCGCATTTCCGCCTGCCTAACCGCCCTTCAGTCTTGGATGTCACTTCACTTCCTTGCCATCAACCCCTCTAAACTCAAGGTTATCTTTTACCCCACTGCTCTTTCCACTCAACCCACCCCCACCATCACCTTCCCACCCTTCTCACTTACCCCTGTCCCTTCTGCCATAACCTTGGTGTCCTCTTTGACTCCTCCCTTTCCCCCGCCTCTTACATCTCTGCCATCACCCACACCTGTTGTTTCCACCTTGTCAGCATTCACAAAATACATCCTCTCATCACTCAGTCCACCACCAAACTACTAATAAACTCACTCATCTTCCCTCAGCTAGACTACTGTAACGCTCTCCTACTCGATCTCCCAGCATATGCGTTCATTCCACTACAACAGATCCAAAATGCATCTGCACGTTTCATTTACAACCTACCACACTGCTCCCGCACCTTCTTATAGAAATGCACTGGCTCCTCATCTACTACAGGTGTCTATTCAAACTTCTTATGCTGGTATTTAAATCTCTTCATGGCCTTGCCCCACCTTACTTTGCTTCGCTCGTCTCGTTTTAACTCGCCTCCCGCCTGCTCCACTCTCAATCTCTCCGACTTCTCACCGTTCCCCCCTCTATTTTGTGCACAATCCCGTTTCTGCTCCTTTTCCCTACTCACCCCCCTTGCACTGGAACAAACTTACCCTCCACATTAAGTGAGAAGCACCATCCCTGTGTAGTTTCCGCTCCTCCCTCAAGACCCCCACCTCTTCTCCCTGGCCCATTCTTCCCTCCATCCCTAGGCACACCCGGAATTTCGGTACTCACTAACCACCCTCTCTTTACCCCAACCCTATTCACTATATCACTTTTAGTTACCATAATTGTACCAACCAAGCAATTTTCCTTAAAACCCTCTGCTGCTAGACCACACAGATTGTTTCGCTTACCAAAAATCCATAAAGAAGGTACACCCCTTTGTCCTATCGTCTCCATCATTGACTCACCCACCTGTACAAACTGGCCCGATTTCTGCCTGAGACCTTTCACTGGTAAGACCACCTCAACTGTACTTAACTGTACTTAACTCAGCTCACTTGGTATCGTTAATTAAGGACATCTCACTATCTCCAGGTGATTTGCTCGTTAGTTTCGATGTAGTCTCTTTGTTTACCAACGTTCCTGTGCCTGACACCATTGCAATCATTGAAAATTTGGTCCAACAAGGACTGAATGCTGATGTACCGGCCCTGGTGAGACACTGCCTCACCAACACTTACTTCACCTGGAATGGAACTTTCTACAAACAAGTTGAAGGTACCCCAATGGGTTCTCCAGTTGTAGCCAATGTTTTAACGTAAAAATTTGAGACAGACGCCATCCAGGCATCCACTTTACGCCCGTCCTTGTGGAAGAGGCACGTAGATGACACGTTCGTCATCCAGCCACATGGCCGACCAGCTCAATCTATTCCTCAACCACATCAATTCCATACACCCAGCCATCAAATTCACCATGGAGGTGTAAAAGGATAGCAAGCTACCATTCTTGGGTGTTTTAATCGAAAGGAGACCAGGTGGCTCAATGGGACACTCTGTCTACAGGAAAGCCACCCATACAGATGCATATATAGTGACTGTGAATGTCACTGTGTGGTGCCGGGCTTGCGAGGCCACGGCAGATAATATGTTGTCATTATGTGCAGCCCGCTTACTGGGCGTAGTACCAGCCCTAGCGGGGCTTGGGTGAGCACTGATTAGCGCAGAGGCACCACGTACAATGTGTGGTGCGGGCTCCCAGTGAGGGAGCGAGAGAGAGCGTCAGCCAGCCAGGGTTATCTTTGGGCATGATACGCTGGTTGACCTGCCGACACGTGACCGGATGATATTGGAGGAGGGCCACCGGTGGACGGGGGTCGCTGGGTGGTCATGTGGTATAGAAGAGCTCTCGGAAGCCTTTGGGAAATGGCCAGAGAGATCGAAAAGGTGGGCGGGGTGAGAGGCAGAGCCAGCCCCAGCCCGAGGCTCGGGGTTCTTGACTGTTGGTGAGTGAAGATTCACGTCGGGTTGAAGAAGCCTGTAGCCACGCAGTCCGGGACCCAGCTCGTGGTCCAGACTGGGATAGCGAGACCATGTCTAGTTCTGCCGTAGCGTGGTTAGATGGGCATTCAACACCCGAGTGTAGGTTACATTACGTTGTGTTGAGTTGATGTAATAAATAGTGTTGCTCCCAAGACAACGTCTGCGACTCAGTTGGACTCACTACACATATCTAAAACCTGACTTCCACCACCATCCTTCCCAGAAGAATTATCCCATCAAAACTCTCCACCATAGAGCTTGGTGTATTTCCTACCATCATCACCTAGCCAGTGAACTGAAACACGTACACCAAGCTCTCAAGATGAATGGATATTCAGACTACACAATCCGTAAAGCTATTACCCCAACCGTTGGGAAATAACCAATCAAAACCATCACCTTGCCATACATAGCAGGGGTCACCAAAAAGATCTCCAAAATCATGAGCAAACACAAGATCCAGGTCCGATTCAACACAGTACATAAAATTCGTGATCTGATCCCATCTGTGAAGGATGTGATCCCTGACATGCAATACCCCGGCGTCTAAAAACTAGGCTGTGTCTACAGCAGTAGTTACATTGGGGAAACTAAGCGACATGTCTCGGACCGTATTTTGTGAACATAAGGCAGATCTGAAACATGGTAGGACCAATACCTCGGCCATGGCTGATCATTGTTTTAATGCGGTGGGCTCACACTGGCTATCAGCAAAGATTCGTTCATGAAGCCATCCACATATACAGACACAGACACAACTTAAATCTAGAAGATGGGTATAAACTGAGCAATCACTGAAAGGACGTTATCAACCAGTTTAAGTCATAACTGGCTGTGATGTTTCCATCCTACCACCTTCCGATGTTAGTTGTTATTTTCGGCTCTCTGATTTTACATTAACAGGTAAAATTTCCTACACTAACACAGCCACCTCGCTCGCCGAGCTCGACGTTGCTGCTCTGCGACCTTCGATTAACATGCTAATTTATCACATTAACATCACTTGCCCCACCCACTTCGTTTATGACCCTTGGGCTACACCCATTTTAAACCTTTAAAACAGCCTGCCTCAGCAGCTTTTCCCATCTTTTTTCCTCCTGATGACGATCACTTGTGTTGTGATTGAAACGTCGTAGTTTATTGTTATTTATCATTTTCTTTTAACCTATCTACGTGATTCTAGATTTGAAGCTTTCGTGACTGCAAGGATTCATATCCTTAGGTTTTTTCGGTAAAGTCACGTAGGTAAAACATTAAAATTTAATTAATAAAAGTAAAATCTTATTTGACAGGCACCATTCTTCAGTTACCGTAGAGTTTCTTTTTTCATACACTGGTTTCCTGCTTTAAGTTTTACCACACATATTTGGCAAATCTAGAATTAATCCCAGCAACGTAGCAAAGGGCTGTTTCATCTACATAACAAAGGCTCAGACCCATTTACAGCAGCCGCACCTTTACAGCAGCCGCACCTTAACAACTCTTGGAACCTCCCAGTTCAACAAGTCTACACAGTAAAGGCTCATTCCTAGCAGCGGCTTCAGCCGCACCAACCTCACAATAATAATAATACAAAACTCCGATCCAGGGGCCTGCCTTGGCTCCTCCCACCCTCAACCAGTATATATACAAGGACGGTTTTCTTGGAATTGTTCTTACTTGATACAGCTATCGTGCTGTGACGGTTCCACCTGAAGACGGAAGCTTGTGTTGCCTCCGAAACGTAGTGATTTAGATTTTCTTTTTCTTTTATTAATTTTATTTTTTTACCTACGTGATTTTACCGAAAGACCCAAAGAAAAATGAATTCCTGCAGTTATGAAAGCTTTAAGTCAAGATTTAAAAGCGTTAGAGTTTCCCATTGGACATGGACCCGTATATAACAGAGAGGGTGGCGCCCTTGACCGTAACACATCTGGCAGCTCAACAGGATTGGTTGAAGCGAGCGTGACTCTGCTTGGAGAGACACCACATGTCCAAAGTTTACTTGTCTATTTTGATGTTTGAGCATTAATGTGGTGATGGCGCTTTGGGGTTGCCAGATTTGGGCCAGAAAGGCGCTACATGTCGAACCAATAATAAAATTGACCTGACTTTTGTTGAACCGAATGCTGCTGAAATGATGCACTCCCAGAATGCTGTGTGGCCGATGGTATGTGTCTAAAAAATATATTTTTTTAGCGGAGAAAGAGAGATGTGAAGGAGGCATTTTTTTCCTTTCACAAAACAACAGCGAGGTTAAAGAGGTGCAAGAATGGCACGGTGTAAATGGGCTGACACTCACCCACATGTAGAGGGCCGTGAGGCTGCGCCCCACGAAGTCACTGAAGCCAAATGCGAGGAAGCCGAACACTGGCTGGAAGAATGTTTCTGTGTGCGTGATGGGGCGGGGGGAAGGGAGGGCAATCGTGAGCATGAGAAGCCAATGCACGGCATCTCTATTGAGCGTCGCTCTGATGCTGAACTTAGTTTTGTCTTGGATCGTGGACCAGGATTTGACAATCCCCATATTAGCAAGTTTGTCTGTGCTCGGGTAAATTCATGAAAATTAATTTGGAGTTTGCACATTCTCTCTCTGTTCCTGTGGTCGCTTTGGTTTTTCTCCGGGTCCTCCGGGTTTTCCTTCCACATTTAGAATCAACATCACGCGTTTAGAGTATTTGGCTCCGATAAATTTCCCTGTGATAAGCCATTTCACTGAGCTGTCATTTGTGGCCAGGTCACTTCTGAAAAATAACTATATCGCTCAGTGGGCGTTACCTGGCAACAACAAAAAATTAAAGGCTCTGAGAGCCACGCGAGATGTCACTTTAAACAAGGACAGGGAAAGGGCTCAGGCTTATAGAATTACAGTTCTGTTATTAACACATGCTCAGATGCTTCTGCGACTAAATGACGCAACAACATTGTTGATGGCGGAATTAATATAAAGCTCTGTAGCACTGATGCAGTGTTCAGGTGTGGTGTCACGGGTGTGCGTGCGTGTGTTCAGTTAGGTAGACAAACAACATCGTAAGGGTCGAGAAGCGTTTATGAGAGATAGTAGGACATTGCACAGTTAAGGGAAGCGGATGAATGAAACGTGGTATGCGCGTGTCATCTTGGCCTTGCCTAGGGAAACCAGACATCGCACCTCCGATAAGCATGGTTGGCTTCGTACAGTGCGAGAGAAGTTCAACATACACGCAAACATATCGAGTTATTTGGAAATATTTGTTTGGGATTTTATTTTGGATTGAGGAGAAAAATCTGCGAGTGATCAACTGACTCCATTTGCTATCGTCAGTGACGGTGTCGACGCGAACGGTGATGGCTGGGAAGAGGGTGAAGGTGATCCAGAACACGCAGCACACCGAGAAGGCCGGCATCCAGATCTGCAGACACGCAGGGACACGCAGAGGGACACGCATTTAACATGAACAGTCGTGTTCTCCTGTAACGCGGTAGTTGCATTCCTGAAGAACACCACGTTATGGAAAAAATTGCATTCTATTAAATCATAATATAGGGGTAAGGCCCAGTCTGCGATAACACGTGAGATGCGTACACAGGCCGAACAAAGACTGATGCGAATGGGTAGCATCTAGAGCATCCAGCAGCATCCCGCCTTGTGCGATGATGTTACGCCGAGGCAGCCGTACGACCGCTTATTCCTACCCGCGCGACGTTGTTGCGTTCGCTCGATCGCGTTCTATCCAATTCGCATTGCGTTATAAAAAAGAAAATGTGTTCCCCAAAACATCCATCACGTTATATCCAATTCGCGTTATGAAAATGGCATGCGGCGTTATAGAAGAACAGACCACATTGACAATCAAGGCCACATGAGGAAAACTCTCTCATGGAAAGGGAGTCAAACACGATCACGGTTTCACCTTCTCTTTAGCAACGGAGCAGTGCTCATCCTTGGACCTGGGCCAGAAATGGAAATTCCACATTCCTACGCAAGGCTAGTGGTACTCAATTGTTGACCGTATAGCCTTTTAACAGAATGTTGGGGCAAGTGCTGTTAGCGATCACCTATGAAGGCCAGCATGCTACATGACGAGGTGGGTGGCCAACACCATTCCCTGCCACCTTTGTCTCCCCAGTGGCGATGTTTACACATCACACGAGGTACTCGTTGAGGCGAAGTACGCGCATACGTATAGAGCTTCGGTCATCCTCTCAGCAGCTTTCTGGCTGGCCATCGAACAAAAACGGTCACCCAATCGCGCGCTTTCAGGTGCGCTTCTGCAGCCATCTGGAACGATCTTCCTTCCGATATTATGAAGCCACTGGGAGCTATGTGCCCTTAAATATAGTTTGAAAACTCATTTCTTGATAGCTACTTTTTGTGTGTTTGGTTTGTTGTCCTACCCCGCACCTCCGATTAGCCACGGTTGCCTACGTACGGCGCGAAAGAAGTTCAACATACGTACATAGAGTGCTTAGATCATATTACACGAGGAGTACAATGATTGGTCCCAATACAATGTCATACTCTCCCTCCTTTTGACCACAGAAGTGGCATTTTATGGTCAACACACACTGCCGTGACAGTCAATTGCGTAATTTCTACAATAGTACACCAAAAAAATAATTGTCTGTCTTGCAATTACCAGCCCACCGGGGTTTTTTCTTGAAATAGCATTGCATGTACGTAGACATGGGACGGCATATCTTAGAACCCTTGTTTAAATCACAGAGCATAACAGACCTGTTTCATGATGGCACATTTTCTGATAACGCTTTGGCGAACGTTTAAGATGTGTTTGTTGTCCTGGCACATGGTGTCAACCTGAAAGTCTCCATTGCGCTCACCTGCAAAGACAAAGATCCACCAAAAAGGCTTAACATACTGTTGGGGCAAGTGATGTTTGATGAAGCACCCGTTATACTGAATTATACTTGTTTGAATTATCCCGGGGTCATGTTGAGTATTTGCAGTAGGACGGGGTGATTGATACGTAGGTTCCAACTGAGTAAATTTGGGGGCATATTTTTTCATTATTACACGCTTTCATTTAACTCACTCTGTCTGTTGTTGTCGTTGTCGTATCCTCAAATATTGTAACTCAATTTTAACCCACTTCCCAATGTGGTATCGACTGCAAACTTGGTATACTTATGTCATACTGATGACAATATTATATACTATAAAAAAAGTATTTTTAAACATTCATTTTTATATGTTATGTTTCAGCTTGGGTCTAATTGTCCACGCTCAACTGACATTGGCTGTAAATCACCACGGTTCCTTTACGTTATGGCAAGCTTTGCGGCCACTTCCAGGAGTCGTGGAGTTCTGCCATGACGAGTACGGTACATTTCATTAAAGCGTGTTTAAAAAAAAGTATTTTTAAATATTACTTATTTATATATATGCAGACAAATTTGGACCAACGACACCTCATCTTGAGAATGACGTCACGAGATATTTAACTTCCACTGTGAAACGGACGGGCCGCGTGTTTTTGTTTACGGTTAGCACGCACACCGCGGTACGGAGCGGAAACGTTGCTGCCACACCTTTCACTCGCTATGTGTTGTTGTTGTAGTAACCACACACACACCGCCCCCATCCACAAGGGTTGCTCAACATGGATTCAGGAAGGTCTGCGTGGGACCAAATGGCCAGGCAGTATGTAACAGAGATGTGGATGAGGGTTTCAGAAGTTAGTTCATTCGTTTAGCACAGAGGCCGGCAACCAAAGTAACAAAAAGATACTTTTTTTTCGATTTCGGTAAAAAAAATCTACATTTCAAGAGCCACAATGCACTGTGTGGTGAAAACGAGACGTCACGAAGCAGTCCTTAAAGATCCGCATGCGGCTCTGGAGCGGCAAGTTTCTGACTCCTGCCCATTGTAAACTGGACTTCCACGGTGAACTGGACTTCCATGGTAAACTGGACTTCCACGGTGAACTGAACTTCCATGGTAAACTGGACTCCCATGATAGACTGGACTCCCATGGTAAACTGGACTTCCATGGTAAACTGGACTCCCATGGTAAACTCGACTAGTTGGTTAGTTAATCATCTTGATCCCCTATGGGACAAGGCCGCAAAGAGTTCCCTCCACTTTTTCCTGTCCTTGGCAACAGGTTGAGCCTTGCCCCAAGAGACGTCCATCACTGTTACCAGCTCGTCCTTGACGGTCTTGCGCCACGTGGTAATCTCTTCATTTCATAGAGGACTTGGGCTGTCTTTGATCTCTTGTACATAGTGCGGACGTTCCATGTGTAGTGACATAAGAAGGGAGGGGCTGCTGGGGGCTCTGGGATCCCAGGCGAGTCCAGACGCTTAATCCCCTTGGCGCCAGGCGTGGGTTCTCAGGCGGGTCAGACGCTTAAGCCCCTTGGCGTCAAGCGTTGAGTTCCCAGGCGCTTAATCCCCTTGGCGCCGCCAAAGGGGGGGGCTGTGTGTGCTCTGTGGGATATCTGGGGGTGCACACGGCCCCACCCCTCGTTGGGGACTGGGCATATAAGCGGAGCTCCCTGGACGATCGGGCCCAGTTGTAACTCAAGACCCAAGACCCACGACCAGCCATCTGAAGATCCTGGGATGCTGTGAGAGCCAGCGCTGGGACTCTGGAACTCCCGACTCTACGACCTTGTGAGGGCGAGTTCCTAGAGCGTAGCCAGAGTAGAGTATCTAGGCTGTGTACCTAGGCTGTGTACCTAGGCTGTGACAGAGTATCAGGACTGTTGGAGTGTTGTGTTGTAATAAAGAAGTTACCTCTACAAGTGTCTCCGGAACCCGTTACATTTGGCGTCAGAAGTGGCAATGGAGACAAGAAGTGAGCCACGTACCTTCAGTCCTGACGGCGATGTTGAAGAGCAAGCGGCGACGGGGCAGCCAACTCGGGCCGACAACGACGCTGCACCGCCGGCTGAGCAGTCGTCCACCACACCTGCCGATCCGCCTCCAGCGTCGGGAGCAGCAATGGAGGAAACGCTGCTTCGCCTCACCGAGCTGCTCCACGCCACTGTCTCCATCCTGGACGACATGCGTCGCTCACAGGCGGAGGCAGGAGGGAGAGAGGCGGCGCAGCGGCCGCGCCATTCCGCCGGCTCCCACACAAAGATGGCGGCCGTTCCCGCCGCAAATACATCCGGGTGTGTTGTCACTTCTGCCGGGGGAGCAATGACCGCTGGGAGCGACGTCACTTCCGGGCCCAGCGTGGGCCTACCCAACGACGCCGCGTCATCAGCGCTGCGTCCCTCACCGCCGGGTGACAGCTGTTTGCGACCTAGCAACGCCGCGTCATCAGCGCTGCGTCCCTCACCGCCGGGTGACAGCTGTTTGCGACCTAGCAACGCCGCGTCATCAGCGCTGCGTCCCTCACCGCCGGGTGACAGTTGTTTGCGACCTAGCAACGCCGCGTCATCAGCGCTGCGACCTTCACTGCCGGGTGACAGCTGGCTTCAACCTAGCACACCGCGTCGTCAGCGCTGCGACCGGACAGTGAGGGCGCCATTCTTACTGTAACCAGCGCCGGGGCCGGCACATGGACCGACACGCAGGTCGCCGCCTTTGCTGCTCTGGCCAAAGGTTGGAGGTCGGGAGACCAGGCCCCTGACACTTCGTACATTTTACACGTTCCGGATTAATGATTTTTTTGTTGACATTTTCTTCGTTGTCGTCGGGGAGTCGTGACTGTTGTTGGGTAAACTGTGTGGAGCTTCGCTCGTGAGTGTTGTCAATGTGTGTGCGAAACTTTGCTTGTGATTGTTAACAATGTATGGTTTGTATTGAGCTTTGTTCGTGATTGTTAATGTATAGCTTGTGCTGTCATTGTTAACGATGTATATACTGCATGGGGCATTTATCTTCAGATGGTGACAATGGCCCAGCGGGTGTTGCGTGTCTAACACGAGAGTTGTGGTCCCGTCATGCTATGGCTGACGGCTTGACCTGACAGCCCGGAGATAGACACTCCGTGGCATGTCTAGCCTAGTGGGCTGTGTGCTCACATGGCTCGGAGAGTGTGGTCCCGTCATGCTATGGCTGACGGCTTGACCTGACAGCCCGTAGATTGAAACACTCCGTGGCATGTCTAGCCTAGTGGGCTGTGCGCTCACAGGGCTCGGAGAGTGTGGTCCCGTCATGGAATAGCTGACGGCTTGACCTGACGGCCCGGAGGTTGAGACTCTCCGTGGTACGTCTGGAGCAGTAGGCTCGCCCTGACGGCCCGGAGATTGAAACACTCCGAGGCGCGTTGAAACAGTGGGCTGGAGATTCGTGGTGTTCAGGTGTAGTTGTCCCGTTACGTTGGGACTGTATCCCTCAGTTGTTAGGGTGCATGTTGTGCAGGGAGTGAACAATGGGTCGTCTCAGATCGGTCGGTACAGCTATATGCTGCGATGCGAGTCTTGGAGAGAGGTTGGGTCTCAGATCGGTCGGTACAGCTATATGCTGCGATGCGAGTCTTGGAGAGAGGTTGGGTCTCAGATCGGTCGGTACAGCTATATGCTGCGATGCGAGTCTTGGAGAGAGATTGGGTCTCAGATCGGTCGGTACAGCTATATGCTGCGATGCGAGTCTTGGAGAGAGATTGGGTCTCAGATCGGTCGGTACAGCTATATGCTGCGATGCGAGTCTTGGAGAGAGACTGGGTTGAAGTCCCCCCCGATATGGTCGACGTGCGCGGTTTTAGGATGGAGACGCCACGTTGGAAAGGCGGGGGGTGCAAACGGTTGACATGTAATGTCGGTGGTGGTCCTCATTGAGGGCTGCTGGGACGCAAGCACGGGATGCCTTGGAGATGCGGTTCGCGTGTGCGGCCACCATTTATGGACAGGAGCAGGCAGATTTATTTTGGTTGTGTCATGTAAATTTTATATATATATTTAAAAATGTAGATACTGGAGCAGCCCTGAAGTGCGACTTCTTTGCCCAGTACATGGGTCGGCCCTGAAGTACGACTTCTAGACCCGGGACGTAGACAGACGTCCGGATAAGTGTGTGTAGAGGGATGCTCGACATGTTGGTCTTCGCCATGGTTGTTTTCTTGTTCTCTTTTCTTTTCCTGTTGAGGCTCGCGTATTTTTTTCTCTCTCTCCCTTTCGTTAATTTAAACTTTCTAATTATTGACAGCCGGGACGGCTGGAGGCTACGTAGAGGGGGGTAATGTAGTGACATAAGAAGGGAGGGGCTGCTGGGGGCTCTGGGATCCCAGGCGAGTCCAGACGCTTAATCCCCTTGGCGCCAGGCGTGGGTTCTCAGGCGGGTCAGACGCTTAAGCCCCTTGGCGTCAGGCGTTGAGTTCCCAGGCGCTTAATCCCCTTGGCGCCGCCAAAGGGGGGGGGCTGTGTGTGCTCTGTGGGATATCTGGGGGCGCACACGGCCCCACCCCTCGTTGGGGACTGGGCATATAAGCGGAGCTCCCTGGACGATCGGGCCCAGTTGTAACTCAAGACCCAAGACCCACGACCAGCCATCTGAAGACCCTGGGATGCTGTGAGAGCCAGCGCTGGGACTCTGGAACTCCTGACTCTACGACCTTGTGAGGGCGAGTTCTAGAGCGTAGCCAGAGTAGAGTATCTAGGCTGTGTACCTAGGCTGTGTACCTAGGCTGTGACAGAGTATCAGGACTGTTGGAGTGTTGTGTTGTAATAAAGAAGTTACCTCTACAAGTGTCTCCGGAACCCGTTACACATGTACCAGGTCTTATCTTGGCTTAAGGACCTAGTATGCTCTCATTCACACTCCTGGCTTCCAAGAAGCCTGTAGGTAAACTGGACTCCCATCGTAAACTGGACTCCTATGGTCAGGGGTCGGCAACCAAAATAACAACAAGGGCCATTTTTTACGACTTCGGTAGAAAAAAAACTTCAATATTTAAAGAGCCTCAATGCAGCGTTTAAAGGGCCGCATGCAGCTATTGAGATGCAGTTTGACAAACCCTGGTTTAGCAGATGCCATATAGAGATTCGTGGCTTCGACAATGAGCACCTCCACTGCCTCTGCTATTGTGCCAATCCTTGTGCCAATCCTACTGCTGCTGCATTTATTTCTATCTTCTCTCTTATGCTGGCTTCCTACCTTGTTCATGGCCTTCCCCAATTAGTTTTTCCATTACAACTATTATATAATTGTATTGTATAAGTTACCGCTGCCTCTCCTCTTGATTCGTCCAAAGTAGGGCAGAACGTAAAATAATTGTTGACCATCGTGGTGGTGAATAAGTGGACATGATGCCTCGTTCCCGTATGTGTCTCTCTGTGTACTAAATAAGACAAATAATTTCGTGATTTTATGTGAAATGAAGAATGGTCATTGCCCAAAGCATTTTTCCTTTTCAGGCAACACACAGCCCATTATTCACATCCCATTATACGTATACCATCATGCATGTCCCATCATGCACGTCCAATCATTCACATCTCAACATTCACATCCCATCATGCACATCCCATCATTCACATCACATCATGCACGTCCCAAAATTCACATCCTATCATGCACATAGCACCAAGCACATCCCATGCAACCTGCGGCTGATGGAATGTGTACAAAGTAGCTCCGCTTTCTTCGTTGTACTCATTTCAGCAATCTCTCTTCTACGAGGGGCATTCTTCAAGCAGCTTAATCATCCGTCTTTCCTGCTGTCAAAAGAACGCACAGAATGCGTCTGTTTGTAACATCGTGGCTTGAACGGGAGAGTTTGAAAAGATACTCTTTGGTTCTTTCGGTAAAGTCACGTAAGTATAAAATAAATCAAATCAAGTTTGAGTTTGAAAATGTTACACGCCAGAGATATTGAGCGGATTGAGAGAAAAAAAGAGGTTCTTCAAACAGAGAACAGCCCAATGACATACTACTACCTTCGGTGCTACTGACGTTTTCCTTGATTTGGACTTTGGTGTCTTCCATCAAGTAGTAAATGTAGAACCTCTGAAAAAGAGCAGTGGGACATTTGGCGATCAACGCAAGTGGTGAAACATAGAGACAAGGTAGCCCCATTCACCTGTCTTAACGCTGCCGCATCTGTATGCGTGTAGAGTACAACTGCCATTGTGTTCAAACATTTCAAGGGCAGTAGCAATTGGTGTGCATGTACAAAAAAGTTGTTGGTCGGTAAGCATCTCCATTTGATATAGCCCTGAGTGGTAGGAGACAAGTGTTTCTGTGCAACAACCGCCTATTACTTCCCACAAGTAGCACTGATTTAATTGAACCTAGAATAACGGCGGTCTAAGATAATGGCCATTGACTGGGGAAAAAAGATGGTAATTGAATTGATACCACAAATGTAACACAGGAGCAGAGGCAGACTGCTCACACTAGATGCAGCTTCGAGTTCATGAATCGATGCGGCAATGACAGGAATGCGGCGGTATAAAAAAACTATTATTTTTTGCAATAATTATTTCATTTCCCGCGATCCGCAAACTCGGTCAGAAAATCTTGCGGGTGGTGTGGTCAAAACCAGCTCTCGTGATGTCGAAGCAGTCGGAAGACAAATGTTATGCGCGGCTGAACACGAAGCTGCACAGTCTGTTGCCATATAGCACCACCCAGCCCGATGACGATTGGCTCGCTCCGTCTTCCAAAGGAAAGATTTGACACCTCGTGCTCTAGACCTGGTCAGACGGTTCCTGGATTCAACAGACCCAAATCAACGGTCAATATTGACCTTCTTGAGAAAGTCTCAATAGACTGAATAAACCTTCGAATCGCATTAAACTTGGCGACAGATTTTCTGATTCAAACTTAGATTATTTTTTTACTGTTTTATAAGGACCGGTGTGTTATGCTGCACCGGTGTGCTGTCAATACGTCAAAATACAGGCTGATGATTGATGGCGATGTGATAATCATCTTATTTTAATTTACACAGCTCTAAGAATGCCTTAGCAACTCAAAAGTGCTTCACGTGACATCTCAAACCATTCGAAGTGCACCCCCGATGACAGCTGTCCCTGTGCCGGCACAAACGGACAGCACCTGGACTGCGAGCGGCGTTCGTCTGCCAGTAGGGAGCGACTATTGCTGCCGTATAATCCCAATCGAAAATATGATCAACATCATCACCACTGCCACCACCGGTCGGGAGACAAAGGAGGCACGGATCCTCATATTCCACCTCCCATGTGCCACGCTAGCCGTGATGGGTCCTTGCTGACTAGCGGTCATCTACGCGGCTGTGTGGAGGATCGATGTGGCGTGCGGTGTTTCTCGTGTGGCGGCGATGGCGGCGGTGCCACGTGCGGTGCTGCGGTGGGGCCCACCAGGCGGGAGAGCGACAAATAGCACAAGATGGTGATCACGGTTATGATGCAGGCCGTCACGAAATACCAGAACGCCACCGAGCTGTTGTCGCTGCTGCCTGCAGGATAGAGAGAAAGCAGCGCGTTTCACAGTTGACGTTGTATTCTCCACCCACACCCTCCACCCACCGTCCCTGGCCAACGCGTCCCAGTTTTGGCTTGGACCCCTTCCCAATGCCGCTGTGATGTCGTGCGTCCGACATTTGTTACCGAGGAGAGTGAAGATCATGGCCAGGGCCGTGAACATTCCGGATACGCCAATGCCGCTCATCAGGGCCATCGTGTAGCTGGTGGGGAACTGACCCGCCAGGCCGAACAGGCTGGCCTCAAACACCGTACCAAACACTGTGCACACGTACACGCACGAAACACATAGGGTTCGCTATTATCTGTGGAGACATTTGGAGACAGTGTGAGCAGCTGTCGTGGCCTGTGTATGATTTGTGTTCATTGAGCTTCTTTCGCACCGTACGTAGCCAACCATGCTAATCGGAGGTGCGGGGGAAGGACAACAACCTAAACAATGTATGTTGAACTTTTTTTGCGCCGTACGTAGCCAACCGTGCTAATCGGAGGTGCGGGGCACATGAAAGGGCAACATCACCAAACGGACGCCGAGGTGTTCCTAGTGTCGATGTCGGTACACGACACACACCACCAGGTATTCAATCAAGGCTGAGTCCATCTAGACGGGGCCCAGGACTAGAGGCCGACCGAAACTAAATTTCTGGTTTCGGCCGAAACCGAAACCGGACCGAAAGTAAAAATGTTACTTTCGGCCAAAACCGAAGCCAAAACCGAAAGTTTAACTTCACTTTCGACCGTGACCGAAACAGAAAGGTATATAACCGAAGTTACCGAAGACAAAATTTATGAAATATGTCATGATGCAATGCTACTTTAATTAAAAAGAAATCTAGAACTACTCATTCAGAGCCTGCAGTAAGAGTCGCTAAATATCAAATCTTTAGGTGTTACTTAGTAATTATATCCAAACAAATGAATGTTGTAGTTAAGAAACAACAGTCGGGGCCAAAACCGAAACCGAATTTCGGTCGGCCTCTACCCAGGACAAGCTCAGCGACCATTTATCACGAATGTTGCCTATGGCACAAACCACTGCATCATTGCTGCACACAAATGTATGCATGTACTGTACGTTGAACTTATTTTGCAAAATCCCCTGGCAAAACCGTGTGCATTTATCTTCGAGTTTACCAGCGGGATATGTCTCGAATGTAGATTAATACGGATCAAAAACTTCATAGGCACATACTTTAATTATTTGCTGCACGCCTCTGTTTTAGCACCTCTGATAAGAACAGTTGGCTACGTATACACATGAGTACCATTTTGATTTAAGAAAAAGGTAGAATATCATTGACGGGCCTAGGTTTGCCTCAAGGAGAAACCCATATACATTATAGGTGTAGGGCTTGAGATAGCGCGCCACGCATCCCCCGCCTCTGTTGCTATGCGAGCAAGCACAGTACAGTGGGGTGATGTGAGGTAATGGTTGTTGTTGTGGCTTTAGGCAAAGTGGGTCGTTAAGAGTTTAAACAGGTGTCAGGGTAGCCGGGAGGACACAGGCCAGTGATTGGCTGAAAAGGTAATTGGGCATTAGCGGGCGTCGCTCCGGCGGCGAAAACAAGGCCACGTGACACGGGGGGGCAGGGGGCGAGCGATAAGCGGGGGGGGGGGGGGGTAGAGATAATTAAGGAGATTAATTGGTGTGGGGATATAAGCCAGAGCGCAACGGAGAGAAGGGAGTCCTGTACGAGTTGGCGTCGTGGATGGAGCTGCAGCAACGGTGCCCAGGGAGTCGCAGAGCAAGTGATAGTAGAGTGGAGAGACAGTGTGAGTAGAGTAAAGCGTAGAGAGAAGCATGGAGAGACAATGGTAGCGAGAACGCAGTGAGCAACCAGGGTAGCCATGCATCGGAAGGATGCAGAGTAGGAGAAACCATAGAGATGACAAGCATAGCGATAGTGAGGTAGAGAGACGCAGAGCGACGCGGAGCTGAGTGAGGGCACGGAGAGACGCGGAGCGGTGGCGCAGCAGAGCGACGCGGAGCGGAGCGAGGTCGCGCCGAGACGCGGAGCGGTGGCACGGCGAAGGTGGACTCTAAGAGGAAAATAAAGAGAGAGAAAGACAACCCTTGTACGAGTCCTACATAGGAATAAAAAAAAACATCTCCCTCACTCCTGCTGTTGCCTACAGAGAATATACTTGCTAATGAAATAGAAACCATTAATTCTCACGCACCTCCGATTCCTTCCTCCGCACCTCCGATTAGCACGGTTGGCTATGTATGGTGCGGAAGAAGTTCAACATACGTACACACATACGTTGTTGCGGCAGCTCTGTGACAGGTTTGCCAATTGTAAAGTTTGAAAATGTCAACGCAACATTTTTCTCGCACCTGCCGTTTTCCATTCCGCTCCTCAAAATAGAATTGCACCTGACTCGATTGTTGTTTCCACTTCAGCCAATCGCTCTTTTTAGCTTTTAGAGTCTTGAGAACGTCGCGTTGTTGTATTGTTTGTATTGTTTGCTGATTTCGAAGGCTGTAAAATTTGGCTCGCGCAGGCCGCAAAAAAATTCCTCCCAGAGCGTCACCTATCAACTGAATTCTCTGTGAGAAAAAAAAGCTATTTCGAGATTGCTTCTTTTTTTTTACCGTGCAGATATTTTGAGCATCACGCGGGAGATGCTGGCTTTTGGTTTTGAATCGTCAGTTGGACTTTTGGGGAGATTCCCGGATTATTGCCGTAGTTAAGATGAAAGTGCTTTGCTGTAGCCTAGGAACGGGTGGCAGACCATCTGCCCAATTATATTACTGCTGATTGGATCGGACCCTTTCCTCAGCAACCTGCCAGCGACCGATCGATGAATAGAAATGTAAAAGAGACTAAACTAAATTTTAAAGCGTTGGCCTCCGAGCAGAAGTGCACGCTGGTAAACCCCAGATACATTTAAGAAATGAGCTGTGCACAGAAACCCACTCTACTAAATTGATGTATCTCCCGAGTTCATGCTTGTAGACCATTATGCGTTCCAGACGTGTAACATTGTCATTACGCTTATCTCTGCAATTAAATATACTGTTCCATTGTTCACGTGTAAAACTATAAGAATGCAATGAAAAGCGATTCTGTGGCATGACTCGCTCCAGTATAAGTAGCAATGGCATAAAACGCTTGTGGATGTTGCCATCCCGTGATACTTAGCGAGCAATAAACATGAGCTGATGAACTTGGGACATGTCTGGAGGTCAATCTACAATAATACAAAAATTGCTGTGCAAAAAAAAATAGTAACGAATAGCAACCACTATTGCAGCTGCGGGCGTGTGCTCCCCGATGGGACCTACTATTGATGATGAACACGCTTATTATGGTGATGATGAAAAAATCTTGCGGGGACAGCATCTTGACCCACACCAGCACCGCTGTCAGCACAAACATGGCCAGGTTTCCGTTCAGGCCAATCAAAATGCGTACCCTGGCAGACACTCTGCAAAGGGGAACAGCAGAATGAAGGAGTGCATGTGGGAAACGCCATTCAGTATAATACCATAACAAGATAAATCATTCATGAAATCGGCGAGATTAAAAATGCCTTCACAACATTTGTTGGGGCGCCACAGTGGCGAGATGTTAACTACCTCGCCTGTTATGCAGGAGGTCGTGTGTTCGTTCCCGACCCTAACGCCTTCTGTATATTTGAAGTTCGCATGTCTCTCTCCCCGTGATCGCTTGCAATTTTCTCCGGGTCCTTCAATTTTCCCCTCCACATTTAGAAACGTGTTTAGAATATTTGACTGCTCTAAATGTCCACATGATAAGCCACTTGGTTGAGCTATCATTTGTGGCCAAGTCGCTTCTGAAAAAGAGCTACTAGCTCAGTGGGCCTTACCTGGTAAAATGAATAAAAAACAGTTTTAGTAAGTGTTGCCTGTCGCAGCTTTAAATATGCATGTTTGTCGAACTTCTTTCGCACATTACCTAGCCAACCGCGCTAATCGGAGGTGCAGGGGAAGGACAGAAAACTAAACACAAAAAGCAGTATCTAAAGATATGCGTTTTAAAGCTAGTATCGTGGTCTAGTGTCTAGTAGTGTAGTGTGTATAGCGTAGTGTGTGTACTGTAGAGTATAGTGTATAGTAGGGTATAGTCTAGTGTGTACGTATGTTGAACTAGCCAACCATGCTAATCGAAGATTGTTCTGCCTCACGGCAGGGGTTTTGCCTCACGGCAGATGGGGGGGGGGGGGGGCGTATGTACACAGTAATTTCCTGTTTTTGATGCTAATTTTGGTCACGTGACCAGGAAGTTGCGATTTAAGATTCCTGCTCAACCACGCGGGCATCGGCCATTACACACATAATTCAAAATGGCGGCACACATCGCGTCCCAGTGAAGCCAGCCGCAATTGTCCATTGTGGGGCTTCAAGAAGCATTGTCTGTAAGTTCGTTTATGTTCTTATAATATTGGCAATGCTGTTATAATGTTATAATGACCGTTATAATGATGTAAATGCCATTATAATGCTGTTAAATTGTTATGATAAATACGAGGCCTAGTTAACAACGAAGCCTGCAACTTTCCTTATTGTGAATGTTACTTGTAATTTAATAAGTCGAGTCAAACTTGTACCCAAGTAACTATATTGCGATCATGAGAGCAAGGATGACGAAATATCTCATCCACAATTTAGTGTTATGTGTAATACTGTACATTTGGGGTTCAGGGTGATGAATACACGATGTGCCTTTATGTAACAGCAGCTTACGCTCTTGTATAGCTATTCAGTGGTAATGTAGGTGCCTGCCCCCTCCAGGATCTATTGTTTAGAAGCATGTTATCTAAGACAATGTTACGATGCTGTGGTGTTCATCCATTGTGTTGGTGTTTCCGGGTATTAACAGATGCTGTATCTGTGCTGTTTTCTTACCAGTTGTACCTCGTTAAAATCAATAAATGACGTTTGGAGTCGGATGTTCACCCTGGCTCTTAGGGTTTATTGCACGCGAGGTTATCTACTCAGCTAGCGGTGCAACGCAGCGCACAGCGAGGCCGAGACAAAGATTGTGCGTGGGGCAAGGATAACAAACTTAAACATAAAAAAGGCCGTGTCCACGGCTGCCACGCTCCACTACTGGGCGGGCACGTGGCCGCAGGCTGGCACAGGCGTGTGCGGGGTCCACGCGGTGCCAATCGGCTCACGTCGATTGCACGAGGGTGGTGAGGACGGAGGCGATGAGGATGGCCACCGTGGACACGAGTGCCATGGTCCCGTCGTAGCATTTCGCGAGGACGCTGTCCGTCCCCTGCGCCTGTTGGGTGCCGTTTGCGGCGACGCTCCCGTTGTTGACGAGGCTTCCGTTGATGCTGCTCTCGTTCTGCACACTTTTGAGCCGATCTCTGAAGTACTGGGACAGAAAGGGAGGGAGGGAGCAGAGGAGGAGGAACAAATGTCTTGGTTCGTGTGTCGTTCATCATGCCCCTGACATCCACTCAAGACTCCAGGCCGTGCTTGTAGCAAGACGCAAACCATGAAACAAACAAAATATTTCGTCGAAATTCTGCCCAGAGCATTAAGCGGTGTTTCTTGAACTGCCACAAAAAATAGCTGCTACCTGCTGCTATGACATAAGGTTCTGAAAGATGTTTATTAATGACGAAACACGGTTGTTGTTTTTTTTTACAAAAAATGTAAAGCATGCAGATTAATGCTTGAGATGGTGGTGGCTTCAGGTCTTCATACAGCAGTATATTTATCATGGCTGATGATTATAACATTTAGATTTGAATAAGCTCCGTTATTACTCCTACGTGTCATCGTGATTCCAGTGAGTGCACATGAACATGTACAAACCACTGGTGAATGAGGGGTTTGTAGCTGTTTTGTAACCATACTTGCATTGTCTTTTAAACTGATTGGCCTACACCATAGACAGCATCCATATATTACCAGAGCATGTTTTTGTTTGCACGTTCACCACAAGTTCGTGTGTATACTTTGATACTGGCAAGAATGGTCCCATCTTGTAGTATACTTCACCAGGCTGGTCAACGCGGGCTGTTGTAGGTGTGGAGCATACAAGCACAGTACAACAGTGCATTTTGCTACACCACCCAGTTCCATTCACCACGGCCCCTGTCCTGAGCCTATAACACCTGTTATATGCATGGTGGACTCATATCCATTCACTCTCCAGGCCTCAACCCCTGCGTAGATTCTGACATCTGACGAGTTTTTGGTATATTCTGGGTGATTAGGCCATAGACACTGAATATGCAGGGTGAGCAGGGAATAATGGATTGCAATGAACACCTGAACCGTACCATAGTTAAGCGATTCGCGCTCACATTTGAATTTATTTATCCTTGGTGGGTGAATGACACTGATATACAGCCCCTTGTCAATATCCGCTATCGGGCGAAGGCATCCCCAATGTCGGTCATTGCGTTCATTGACGAGCGGCGTGGCGTCCGGAGGAGCTGGTACGGCACCGTGGTGCTCGGTCTGGCGCACCACAACCAGTGTGAGCCACGGTCCACTCAAGTCCCAGGGTGTGCCGCGGTTTTTTCGAATCACAGGGAAGGAAGGGAACCTCGCCATTCACGAGCTAGAACCGACGAACTCTCTCCACCCCCCACCCTCCATGCCGTTCAGTGGCCGATCACAGCCGACATCTCCTGCCACCTCCCCTCAGATTGGTGTGGACATTTTACAGGAAAATGAGGAAGACGACGTTTTTGCAACCCAGTGGTGTGCAAGGTACTGCCTATCTATGCAAAGACGCCGCCTTCGTTAGTCGTAATACGCATCTCATGATGCTATGGCTGCAAAGTTTGGTCGTACATGTTATGTAGATCGTTTATTGTTCAATTGGAATCACAGTTCCTATGATCACTGTTGTTACATTGTTTTTATAGCTTTATTTTGGTGATTTCGAAAAGGTTCTGGTTTAGCCATATTTGTTTGTTATAGTACAGAGTTAGACCGATAACTGTATCCCACTGGGATTTTTGCAAACAGCATTGATATACGGTGCTTTTTCTGGAAGATTTTGCTGTTTTTTCCTGGATTTTTCTGTTGCGTGTAGTCACTTTAAGATGTTTTCTTGTTCATATTTTAGTTTGTTGCGGTTGCATCCGATTCAAGAGCCGAATGGCTCACAGGGCTATACCAAATAAATGAACTGAAATAAAATGAACTGAACTCTCCATTTTGGCCGCAGCGCAGTGTAGCAGACAGCCGTCAGCCACCACATCCGGCCCTCTGAACTCCTTCGGTCGGGCGTGCGCAGTTGGGGGGCCCATCCAGGCTCCATGGTGAATTGTCGGTTCGGTGTGGTGTGAAGACAAAGCAAGCTCTGAAGTGTGCGGTGGAACGAAAGAGGTTGAGAAGCACTGTGGTAGACTCCTTGTGGGCAAGCCGCACGTTAACATTTAAGAGTCGTTTGCTTTAGACTTAAAACTTTCGTGACTGCAGGAATTCATATTCTTAGTTCTTTCGGTAAAGTCACGTAAATAGAAAACAATAAGTAATATTTAAAAATACTTCTTTTCTAAACACGCTTTAATGAAATGTACCATACGAGTAATGGCAGAACTGCACGGTTCCAGGAAGTGGCCCCGAGGCTTGCCATAACGTAAGGGACCGTGGTGATTTACAGCCAACGTCAGTTGAGCGTGGACAATTAGACCCAAGGCGAAACATAACATATAAAAAAGATGGTTTAAACATTTTTTAATTTTTAATAATAGAATATAGTATTGTCATCAGTATGACATAAGTATACCAAGTTTGCAGTTGATACCTAATTGGGAAGTGGGTTAAAATTGAGTTACAGGATTTGAGGATTCGACAACAACAGAGTGAGTTAATAGAAAGCGTGTAATAAGATTGTTTAAAAATATATATTTTTTATGATAGAATATAGTATTGTCATTAGTAAGACATAAGTATACGAAGTTTGCAGCCGATACCACATTGGGAAGTGGGTTACAATTGAGTTACAAGATTTGAGGATACGACAACAACAACAGACAGAGTGAATTAAATAAAAGCGCGTAGAAATTTTTAAAGCAAAAAACCCACTAAGTTTCGATCGCAACACAAGCGTTCTTTACCTATCTACGTGACTTTACCTTCTTCAGGTGAACAACGCTTGTGTTGCGATCGAAACGTTATGGGTTTTTTGCTTTTGATTTTTGTTTTCTATCTACAGTACGTGACTTTAGCGAAAGGACCAAAAATAAGTAGTTTGCTTTTTGTAACTTTGGAGACTTTTGCAAGTGCGACTTGATCCTGGTCTCCTGAGTTTCTTACCTGTGTAATAAAAAGGACTCGAACACTTCTTTCTGTCTTCGTGTCTTTATTCAGGTTCACGTCTTTACCCACACGGCACTCTGTTATAACTCCTGTATTTGTAGCCCCCGGCTATTCACTGCTATTATAGCTTCCTCACCCCTCTGACTCTCTGCTTCATCTACTGTAACCTCCTCCCTGCAGACTTGCTGCTACCCCTATGTGCAGACCCTCTGGCTGTCACTGTATGCAGACCCGCTGCCCACTCTCTCTGTGCAGCCCCGCTGCTGACTGCAGCCTCCTCGCTGCTTCGGGTCGGTCACCGCTGGCCAACGGTGCCGATCCTCGCTCCCCCCGTGTTCGTGGCGATCTCGCCACACCCCGCTTCGCCCTACGTGGCCTTCCTCTGTTCCTGGCTCCCAGTCACTCCCCCTGCTCTTCCGGTTCCCCTCCTTCTATACTCAACCCCTCTCCCCCCACGTGACCTAACTCCTCCCCCCCTGACGGCACCTCAGAAGGGCCGTTTACAACCGCATTACATCACCCTCCCCCCTAAAGAAAATCCAGCCGACCTCGGCTGAATTGCAACCTGAAAAGCAATGCGGGTGTAAAGGGCCAACACGCAAAAAGACACGAAGCATTGAAGAACATTATAACAATAACACAACACAACACAATCTAACGAAACGTGAGGGATTTCGAGCGAGTACGGGTAGCCGGGCCGTCCCGGACGGTCGGCGGCCCACCCGCCGAGCGGGAACGTGGAAGGGTTTTAGGGGCGACGGGCGCAAGTTCTTCCGTCGCCATTGGAGGCCCGCCACTGTCCCGCTCGCGTCCAGAAACATCCCGTACTCGCGTCCGCGGAGGGATAGGAAGAGCTGCAGGTCCCGTGGGTTCTGCGGCTCCGGTCGGCGTCCCACAAGCGGAAGGTCCTCCTCCCTGCGCTGTCACGGCCGGCTTGTCTGTGAAGGGTACGACAGGCGCTCTCGCAAGGTCAGCAGACACAGGCAAGGGCGAGTCGGCAGCAACAGACCCCGGCAAGGCAACTTGGGGAGATGACGCATCCGGCCGTGGGGCAATGTATGGCTTCAACCGGGACGTGTGCACGAACCAACGCCGTGCACCAACCTGAACACGCGCCGACTGTGGGTTGGGAACCTCAATGAGGCGGACCGGACCCTGCCAAGGTCGATGTAATTTAGGAGATGTACCTGGCCGCACCTGTGGGCAATGAAGCCAGGCCAGGTCCCCCTTTTTCCAGGGACACTCCCCCTTTGAACGTCGGGCACACTGCTCATTCCTGGCCTGAGCCTTGGCAGTAGCCATGCGGGCATTTTCCCTCGCCTCAGCGACACGCCGAACGTTGTCCTTAATATACTCAGGAAGAGGCTTAACAGGCCCCCTCGCACCGGTTCCCAACTGGTCATGAATCGGCGGCACGTTCTCACGGCCGTACATAAGGAAAAACGGCGAGTATCCAGTAGCCGCGTGCGGCGTCATGCGATACGCCGAAAGCACCCCAGGGATATGCAAATCCCAATCAGATTGGTTTTCCCCGACTGTATGGCACAGCATGGCGGACAGAGTCCGATTCAACCGTTCCACCATACCATCCGTTTGCGGGTGGTAGGGGGACGTCCGTATCTTTTTAGTTCCAAGAGCCGCACACACCTCCCCCAACAATTTAGACGAAAAGTTACGTCCCTGATCCGTAAGGAGCCTCTCCGGAGCCCCTTTGTCCATTACATACCCAAATAGAAAGGCTTCCGTGATAGACGCCGCTGACTGGTCAGGCAAGGGCCAGGCCATCGGCCAGCGAGAGAGGTACTCCACCCCCACCAGTAAATACTTATTCCCTTTAGCTGATGGCGGAAAGGGTCCCAAAATATCTAACGCCACCAACTCATTAACCCGAGATACTTTAATCGATTGTATCGGCGGAACATATGGATGTTTAGGCGGCTTACGGCGGGCACAATCGGGACACGCGCGAACGTGACCGACGACATCCGTCGTCATGCCGTGCCAATAATAGTCTCGTTGCAGCGTCAATAGGGTTTTCTGCACCCCCAGGTGTAAAAGTGTGTCACAGTGCAAAGATCTAATCAACTC